TAGTGCTATACAGACTTCAACAAGCTTACAAAATCTTTGAATTTCTCACAACTTTCTTCGATTGTCTAAAAAAACACAGAAATGCCTCAGTTACGTATGGAATTATCTGAATTAATTATATATAACGTGGGCTCTCGATCAGAGCGACCAGGCATTGTGCTTTGTACTGTAGCTTTGAGCAGTGGTTCAGATTAATTAAGAATTTCAAATTAAGATCTGGGTCGCGTCTTATTGATTAACGCTTGAAGGGATAAATACGAATCACAACAGAAGTAGAACCTGATATCGAAGGATTGTTCAGGCAAAAATGACGTCAGATAATCTCACTAATGACTGATTAATGTTAATGATAATTGTTGATTAATTGCAAAGCCTAATTTAGTAGCATTTTTAATAACTTGCCAAGGCATTTCAATAAACTCTCCTTATTTATAATCTTGCTGACTGCGGGTCGATAATAAATGGCAAATGTAGCCGCTGGCTTATAATTTACGTATCAAACACTGCGATGAAGACATTTTTTCAAATGGTGATAAATTGAAGTCGATCAAGAAATTACCTCATAAACGAGAACTTAGTCCATTAAGTTGTATCTTGTCAAAAATAATATTGAAACAAGTTATTACCCTCTGAGATCCATTTTAATATTAAATTGCGAAATGGATATAAGTATCTCAGCTGGACTGGCCTATTACGTCGTTGTAAAAAAAAAAATATATATACGTATGTTTAGGAAAATGTACAAGTCAGGTTGTCTGCGAGTCGAATCATGTAACTTTAAACTCTTGAATTTGATTCGGGATGTATCTGCGAAAATCACGATCGAATTTATGTGGACTGAGATGAATCTGTGTCAAATCGGGTCAGTTATATTTAATCGTAATGACAACTATATGTCCCATTGTTTTAATATTTATTTATTTATATTTTTTTCGAGGTACGGAGTGAATGTTTAAATATTATTAAGATGAGCTTCGGATCCAACAACTTAATTAGACTTTTCCCTCTCCGCGTTGAATGTCTGGCGCTGATGGAAAGTCTGATGGTATTCTGCATGGCGTCATCATTGCTTGCTATTTTCCCAGCATTCTGCTTTCATGCAGGCCCGGATTAGACCTTGTAGTTTCTCCCTTCCCCGGGTATGAAGGCTCATCTTTTGTTTTCTACCGCTCATAAAACGCGGAACCCTTTCACCTTCTGCAAGACCACAATCAGGCAGCTAGGACATCACTCCTATACCAGCCAGGGAATATCTCACCCGCGGACAAGTGGCTTCTCGCACAGACGGCTTAGTATTTCGACGTTTCGGACCTTGTCATTTCCTCCATCATCTTCTTCCTACGACTTTACCTTCCAGAAGACCGCAGTAATTTCTTTTTACGTTTTCCATTATCTTCTGTGTTATAAATTGGACATCCCTGTGAATGAGATGTTTTTGTCCGTGTCATAGTTTGGACACCCCGTGATACTTAGGTGAATGTGGACCGTGAGAGTGAATTACCCTTGTCATGATGTAAATGCCATTCTCGATGAATGGCTGGTTGCCCATGTACACGCTCCGTCTTACAAACTCTCCGCTCCTCTCTTCCTGATGTGAAGACATTTTGAAAGTGTTTATGGAAATACGATTTTCTGACGTTGAGAATCATTTGCGTGGAGTCGTCGTAATGCTGTGGCTTATTTATAGCGGGGTGACCACTAGGTCCTTGGCGATGAGACTGTGTGTGTAAGCTATGGACCGCAGACCTCTAACCAAGTGAAAGGCCGGCAACTTTCTGTTTCACAGCCACTTAAACGTGTTTCGCAGGTTTCCCTAATGATGATCAACGTCATCCCAAGTGCTAACGCGGTTGGCTTGCATTCACGTTGAATCCGGCCTCGTCATGATGTTTCTGTAATTCCTATCGGTCCCACTGCGGGCGTGGACAATATTTTTTTGGCTAGATTTGTCATCAATACAGAGTAACATCTCTACTGTTTATTAATTACGTGGAGAAGAGATTTTTGCCTGCGATCAGTGATTATGAGGCGTCCATACGTGTTGCTTCACTGATCAAACACGATAAACCACTGTTACACCACTGTGTACGTGCAAACTAGTTTCTGAAAGTTCAGCAGTAATCACTTGCAGCCAAGGAGCTTCAATTTGTCTTCGTGATGTAACAGTGGAAAACTTTAATAGTCTCAGCCGAATCGCTATTCACTTGTTACGATGTGTCACTTTACGTAGGGTTTTCTTAATTTCTCTCTTTCATTCTCGTATTCGGAATATTTAGGAAATGGCTTCGTGGAGAGGGGAAGTTGGGAAGATTTATGACCTGCAGTGACTGAGGAAAAAAGATACATTTCAACTGTCGACAACCTGGATTAGAAACTGTTACTTCTGAATATAGATCCTGATCTACCGTGTCTTAATCTACGCAATGTGAATCACCAGAAATGAACTTACTTTTAACCCTTTGAAGAATGAAGCTCGTCTAAATAATATATAAGAATTCAGTCCCTACCGCGAAGAAAACACCACACTTAACCATTACAAATATCAACTGGTTAAGGAAATAATTGCTGTTTACACTGAGAACCTAACAAGACACGTAAATACACTGTGTGGGCAAAATGTAGAGTTATTTAATGTGAAAGTAAGTGGTATATATAGTTACCACCGAGCTTTAAACGGATAAGTGTGTGATGTATGGCGAAAGTGAACGTGTTGGTCATACGATGAGGTGAAGGGAATAAATAAATTGCCCGAGGCTGATGCAGCTTCAAGAATTAGCAGAAGAACTCGTAGACTGGAAGCTGGAATTATCTCGCTGTGGACTATGACTTTTATGAAAGTTAATGTGGCATTAGATGGGCATTAGTGAGAGAGTTACGAGGAAATGAGAGGGGAAGTTCCATTTTAAAGATGTGTTACTGCGACCGACCGTTTTAACTCCGATTGTCCTGGTTTCGCTATGTCTTCAAATGGTTCCCAAGTTACCAGTTGCTAATTTAAATTAGTTAAATGTACTCCCTTGCCATGTAAGCTACAAAATTACTTTTACTACTAAATTGTACGTTTTTCCCAATCATTATAACAAAAAGAAAATTATAATGACACCGACAAATACTCCGTCTAGAATAGGTGGATCTTTGAAGCATTATCTAATTCGGCGAAAGGGCAGATAATAACCTTTTAATTATTAAGGCTTCGTATCTTTTTTTTCAATGCGTGTGTATAATGTATATAAGAAGATCTCAAAATAAATTCTTAACACAGAAAAGCGAAAGTTGAACGTAGTGGTAAGACTTTTTGAAGAGCTCTTCGGTGATAACAACTAAAACACGTAGAAAGTTGCCGTCACGTGACTGAATCCGTTTAACCTCGTGGAAGGTGGGGTTATAAAATGCCCTCTTGTGGATGAAATAAACAAACGCCGACTTCACTGCAACTTTCCTGGAATCAGAAGTTCGGAAATCAGGGGTAATTCATCTGGAAGAAAACCGGACTGCAAAGAGATTTTAGGTCATCACGTCGTTGAAGATGCCGATGTTGGTCTTGTCGGTTGCAGCGCGGCGTGGACGTTTAGGTAGATATGAGCGTTTCGAAGAAACATAGTCTTAATGTCCTGGAGAGTTCAACGCTGGTATAAGACAGCAGCTAACCCAAATATCTTATGACATTGAAAATTCACGTCCTCGCTTCAGAAGTTTTTTTAGTTGATTAGTACTGCATCCATCTTCAGGGCTGGATTCAGTATTTCACTTGAAAATATCTGTGTCTACCTTCAAGTTCACACGGCGTTGCAACCCAGAAGACCAGTGTCGGACCGCAAAGAAATTTTTTTATGGAAAACAGCTCGAGGGATGGTTAAAGCCGTATTATCGTGCCCATATGTGTTGTAGAGGAATTCTGCTTGACAGGCCGATGTAGACGTGAAGGTGGCTGATCGCGTTCTTACCTTAACGTTCCATTTCGTAATTTGGTTTGGTTTCCTATGCAGCAACCCGTAATTGCTGGCTTCCCATTACGTTGGCGTAACGTTTTGTTAGCAGTAGCCAACACGTACGATGTCCTAGTTTTTCATTCGAACATTACGTATCACGATTTGAGTTATCTTTGCGAACTGACCGTGTTCTTTCTTCGTAACACTGGTAATGAGTTTGCGTGTGTCTTCCTGGTTATTTATCGTTTCTTGCTGATAGTCGCAGTTGAAAAAAAGGTTTTCTGTCGTCTGTTTTAAGGTTATTTGCCTGGTTGAATTGAGAAAAACCACAAACATCTCAGGCTATTCGCTTCCGTGCCAAGATTCGAAACCGGGGATTGTGTATTGTCCCACCTGTTTACCCGTTCTTTCTCAGTCACTACCAGGTGTTCTGTCTGATTGCAGGGAGCGGCGAGTTCCTCGTGCCTGCAGGATGGGGAACCAGCGACTGCTCATCGTGACACTTGGTAAGTTCAACGGCCATACTCGACCTTGACGTTCGGGAGGCGAAGAAGTGCAGTCCTTCGGAACCTACTAACGCTAATGTTGGTGTCTCTGGCTTCAGACCTTGATAGTTACTGTGGGAATTTGCGTGTGGTTCTCAGGATATTGAAGTGAAAGACTTCTTGTGTCGCGTGTGGGCTTCGCTGTCTTTTATTTCCCATTCTTAAGCAACCAGAACTCGTTACTGTCATATTTTCGACATACGCAAATTGTAATGTAATGTAGCTGTGTCGTGGGTTCAATTCTGAAGGTTTTTTTAAAAAAATGTGTCATTTGCTTTGCTGTCAGTAACTTTGCATTTTTTGTTTTTCCATCTCATATGATTCTCAGTGCAAACGTCAATTATTTCCTTAAACAGCGTTAACCGGTTGATCTTTTGTAATAGTGAAGAGTTGTGTTTTCTTTGCGGTACGGACTGAATTCTTTAATATTTAGACGAGCTTCGGCTGCGTACAGGACTCGAAGTTAATCAAAGCTTAAACAGAGTTAACCAGTTGATCTTTTGTAATGGTGAACTGTAGTGTTTTCTTCGCGGTACGGACTGAATTCTTAAATATTATGAAGACGAGTTTCATTCTTCAAAGAGTTAACGAGAGCCATTTCACTGCTAGTTCTTTTAAACAAAAGCCAAGAACTTCCAGAATAGGAAGCAAGTACTTCTAAGTGAAATATTTCTTAAGGTAGCACGGAATTTGCAAGGTACGAACCAGTTGTGCGGTCTAGAATTAGCAGCTTCTACTCTGGAAAAAATTAATATTTGATATCATAATTTGACGTAATTACTTTGTGGATATGAATCAGTAATAACTTTGCTACAAACTCTTGTAACGTGATATCTGTCATTACGTTAGGCAATCATCTTGTCGCGTAGTCGATGAAACTTATTTTTCTTGTGTGAATATGGCGCTCCTGTCGCGTGACAGAAGGTCGCTTAAGACTATGCAGTGCGGTAATTAGCTTTGTTTGTCTCGTCTGCAGCCCAGGTTATTTTGTCCTGACGGAAAGGTCGCTGCAATGTTTCCAAACACATGAATACGCAACATCTTTGTTGTTACGCGATTCTCTGGCTGTGAAAATTGTCGCTTGTACTCTGTTATGGCTCCGGTGAAACTTCTGGATATTTTGTCCTTCTTACATTCTTTTCGGAGTCCATCTTATGTTGCCTGCGAATTTCCCTCGCCAAATGAACTCAATAACCCGATGCAGCGCTGTACATAAGAATCCCAGACAGGCCCCGTATTACACAGGGTGTTCCTCGTATGACGCGCTGTGAACAGACCAGTTACACTTATGTTTGCTTTGACAACTTGTGTTCTCAGATTTAATTTAAAAACCAGTCGAGACATTTTATTATCTTTTGGGCCTTAATCGATGTTTTACGTGATTAAACGCGTAATGGGGACTTGTTCTGAACGAATTTTGTTTAAACTTAGTATACTGCAAAGCTACAATCAAAGTTATTAGGCGAATATGATCTTATTTGCTGTCTATCTAACATATCTCCCTGCGTGTACGAATTCCATATGAATCTGTGGATCTGTCTTTATATCGGTCCACCTATTTATTTATCTGTGATGCACAGAAGACAGCCATTCGCATACAACGAGCTTTGAGTGTCGATGTTGGGCTCTTGAGTTATAGCGCCATGTGGTCTTGAACATACTGCCTTCATCTTCAGGACTGAGGCTATCTGCGAATCCACACGGCGTCACAACACAGCACCAGTATCGACAATGCCACCGTGTTTGCTTCAAACCACGCAGTTAGCTTAATTTGTTGTCAAGAGATGGCAGAACACGTTTGTTTCCCCAATATATTCGAGAAAATGAATTGAGATGTCAACGACTAGTTGCTTGTAAACGAGATATCTCGTGCATGTCATGGAGAGCGTGCGTCACATTGAAAGTTGCGAGTGGTTTATAAATCAAAATATTATGACCAGCTGTCTCTTTCTACGAAACAATGGGGTGGTTCTCGAGAAAGAAAGACTGTCAGAATTAAACACTGCAATGCTACCAGATGCTCTTTAGAGATTGCAATGCAAATGGCCCTCCTGTCTGTGCTTGTTATGCAACACGGCAATGAATTATGCAGATGTTGTTGTCTATTAGCATTGAATGCGTTGCCTCTCTCTATATTCATCAAATTCCGCCGTCTTCTTAATTTTAATCCTCGTTGACGTAACAGTGGTATTCTTCAGAAGTTCAATATGGCCACACAGCGCAGCTGAATGCCCCATTTTTATTCTTACACAGCTAGCAGGACATGTCCACGGTAACTTATGCATATCTTCCATTGTGGAACGAGAAATATCGTTCGTAGCATCGGAAGTGTTGACTTCTGCAAATCCTTTAACGTGTTTTTTTTTTAAAATGATTTTTAAGGAAATTCGTGGCGAAATTACTCAAGACAGTGGACTGTAATGTTAAAATTAAAATATTGTAATGTACTCGACTATTCAGTCAACAGACTTGTATTATCCTCATGGATGTTCTTCTGGGTAATAATTCTGTGCGAATTTGTAGGAGGATTTTGGCGTTTCGGAGGATCATACTGCCACCATCGTCAGATATGAATCGAGAACCTTAAGTCTCATATGGTATCACCCCGTAGCAAAACATCGGAGATTTTAAAGAAGGTCGCCATCTTTCGATGTGGCTGTAACATGTTAACGCAGAGGGAAGTTGTCGATGGGTTGATCGAATTTAACTGTTTATTGATAAATTAATACTAAAATGTGATCTTCCTGCCTGGATACCTGAAGGCCTGTGTTCTTTTGTCTCTCAGGAGCTGTGATCCTGGCCACGTGTTGTTCTTCTGCAGAGCCAAATTCAAGAAACACGGGCACTCCTCAGTTAAAGGTAATGTGATGCTTTCTCTGTCTGCTTACAGCAATTTTGTTTAAAGGAATTTACGAGTTGTGTGGAGTTGTGAAGGAGACTGGATTTTGTTGGCCCAGGAAAGGGTCCGGTGGAGGACTTTTGTTAATTCGGTGATGAATCTTCGGTTTCCCTAAGCTAGCTAGTTAGTTAGTGAGTTTGCTACTTAGACTTTCTCGTCGTTCTTGACAGACAATTTACTGGTAAGAATAATTATAATTATAATCGTTCTTTGGTTTTGTATGGGTGTAGAACATGGTCTATCAGTCTCAGGGTGGTCATAGAATGAAGGTGTTTGGGAGCAAATTACTGTAGACCTAAGGAAGAGGACATAACAGTAGGATGGAGAAAATTGTAAGTTTTTTTTTTCGGTTGGGGTTTTCAGATTAATAACTTGGTTATACCTTAAAGTAGCCCTGTTTACGTCATTACAAATGACTCAGTCACAAATTATCATCTTGCTATCTGACTAGTCGCTTTCGTGCTTCTGGAACAGCGTCGTTAAATGCTCATGCCCTAAGAATTGAATCAGGAAGTAGATTCAAGCATGTAAAGAAAGTGGAAATATTTAATTCACCCAGGAAATTGTTTTTTAATAGAAAATGCAGATGTCGATGAATTTCACGAATTTCGTAATTTCAGAGGTTAAAGAATTTGCTTGGTTTTTGTCTTAACGCAACTTCCTGTTACGTGTAACACAAATAGGAAGTGACGGCGAATCGACTGGATGAAGTTCGAAGGCAGGGCTGGGAAATAATTCTTGAGAACGGAATAAAGAAACACAGAGACAGGAAAATAACAGAACAACAGTTGTAGAAACAATAAAATGAATCCCACAGCAGATTGCACGTAAGAGAATGAACAATTTGGTTAAGGAAACTGCGAATTTTGTGTCGTGCAGACAGGAAACGTGTCTGCTCAGATGAATGATGATGTCACTTTCTTTTGTAAACTGTAAGGCATCTTCGAGAACATCCACCTCTTTAGTTTGCATGTTTATCAACATTTTCACGTATCATTTACTTCAACAGGACAAGGAGCGAGACAAATACGACAAGAAATATCTAATCCGACCCGTGGCGATCTTAAGACGTCATAAAATCCATCTGTTTAACTGTTCACTACTTTACGTCCCCGCCCATACGAAATATAATGCATACAGCGATCGACAGCCACATTTGCCTTTAAGTGGATGTCGTCTGGGATGTTACGCTGTGTAACCTCGTGGAAATTGACGGGCGATTCAGAGCTGACAGCTGCCCCCATCACCAGCTCTCATTCTGATTTAACACTTTCTGATTTAATCCCCCGAAGTTTCGAGTTTAAATTTTTAAGTTTTTCGTTACGTAATTTCACCATCGTCCAGTTATTTATTTTCTTGAATGTTCTTTATGAGTAAACACATGGACTTATACAAATTTCAAACTTGACCTTTGCAGTTGATAAGTCCAGTGATAATAGCGTCCTCCAGGGACAAGTATTTATCGTACCGCGTTTCTTTTGTTTTTGTCTTGGTAATCATGGTCATGACACGGCGTTCGGTTCTAAAGCGGAGTTTCTAGACATGAAAGCGCCGATTATTTATCCACTTTTGTGAGCAGGAAGAGAAAAAGTCTTTGTTTTACATTTCGACTAAGATTGCTTATCTGAACTGCTTCGTGTATTCCCATATCCGGAGAATCACGACGCGTTCTTTAGCGGAGCCGAACATAACCTAACCTTTGATGTTTCACGTCCATGTTTTTTTTAATTAACGAAACCGAGTCGGTCACACCATTTAACGGGTTATATAAATTTATAATTCTGAGCATTGCAGTTCATTGCCTTGTCACCAATACGTTTTTTTCAGTCCTTCAGCCTAAAGGGGAGATACCGTTTGGAGGACCTATAGGTTTATGGCAGGTTAATATTAAAATGAATCTTCTAGGAATTCGATGTGGATTCAAATGGTGGATTTTTGCAAACAAGATGGCGGACTGATGATGATGTTCCTTTAGATTTTGACGCAGTAGATGCTAAAGTTTCAGCCTTGTAGATGGAGGCAGTATGTTTCTCCGAAACGTTGGCATCTTCTGACGAGTCTTCAGAGCGAGAAAATCGAGAAGAACATAATCAGTTGTCGTCAAACTTTTCAAGAAAGTTAATTAATAAATGAGCATGGAATAAACATTTCAAAGATCATGATGTGCCCTCCCATTCTTGTCCTTAATTGTGTGTCTACGGGTAGCCATGACGCAAATCCGACAAGTGACGGTGTTTCCGCGTTTCTTCTGTGCTACTGGTCCATTGTCTCTCGTGGAGTCAGTCCCACGGGTGTAAAACCAACAGAAAGCCACTTCCCTGCTAACTCTCACCGTCCGAGTGTTTTTCCCTGGGTTTCCGAATTTTATTGTTTCTGGAAGTAATTTCTCATGATTCGTTGGCTCTGTGTGTGTGAGGGGGCGAGTTCAGAAAGTGACGTACGAGTGAAAAGGAAATACACACATGTTTTGAAAACCGGGATACGAATTTGCGATCCAGGAAACATTTTGCTGGACTTTCCAGGGTTACCACTTATTCATGGAGCTTATTAGTGAAGCTGTCAGCTGTATTTAGGGTCCACTGAAGAACCCGGAATGTAGGTATTTTTTCTATGTTTTGGGGGACAGGTTTTATCGTGAGAAGATTAAAGAGGATGCGGGAAGGAGGGCATGTAGCACGCATCCTACAGATGAGAAACGCTTGGACAAATTTGGCTCTGAAATGTCTGTGGAAGAGACCACTTGGGAAACCAAGACGTAGATGGAAGAATATTATTAAATTTTGTCATAGAATAAGAGGGGTGTGAGGAGGTGGATTGGATTAAACTGGCTCAGGACACGGCACAACATTGTTTTTTTCCCCTTTGAACATTGAACGTTGGTGTTCCATTCGTGACCAGCTGTGCGACTGTCAAGTTTTTTGGGAAGGTAGTCGGTGGTGGAAACCAATCATTAAGATTGAAACTCTTGATTGAAACAGTTTTGTTACGTAACCAAAGAATCAGTCAAGTGAAATCTGCATCTTCAGACTGCCACATCGTTTTTTGCATTCATTACATTTCCACCAATTTCCCTTCTGTTTAAATCCACTGTTACAGATAATTTGTCTTTTACGTCACAGGTTACGAAACAGAATTTGAAGGAGCGGCTCTCAGAAATGGCCGAGGAGTTCGGGGCAATGAGCTTTGAAGAGACGTCAGAGGAAGTGTCTTCTGCAGATGAGGAGGCGACGTCCCTGGCACCAAAGCAACATGTCAAGAGGCTAATATCTGCTGAGCAAAATGCTGAATTCCAGGTTTATCAAGGTACTTCGTGCACTGTGAACCAAAACCAGCGTAGATGTCCTCATGAGGTCAATGCACCAATATATGACCCCACAGAAAGGAGTCATTCCTGAGAAGCTGATAGTCACTCACTCATGTGCTCAAGAAATTAAATGTGCTTTATGGAACTTGAAGGTTCATTACACTTTTCACAAAATCCTGTAACTGAATTGAAATCACCCTTCGAAGAAACTTAGGATTATATTTGGCCAATATCAGCCTATGCTACGTCATCATGGGTTTTCCATCTAAAATTGTGTATAATTTCCTAATTTTCCACCCTTGCATGCTTTTTTCAACATTCTTGATTTGGTTCTTGTGTGAAGGGTACAAATTATGGTACGACATGTGGTAGCCATGGTGGAGATGAGAAATTCATAAATATTGTTGTTACAAAACGTCATCGAAAGAAATTACTTGGGAGCTGTTCAAATTCAATTTGGTCTGAACTTGAATATAATAATATCTTCCCACACTAAATCACATTTTGAATCATGAATCTCTCGTGTGTCTTGACAGGCGTAATGGGGAGACCTGGAATGGACTTCCCTGTACTGCGTAGCATCCCTAAAACAGGCTTCAGCTGTCGCCAAGTGAAGCATTCTGGATACTACGCTGATCTGGACACTGACTGTCAGGTAAATGAATGCATAATGGGGATACGGCAACTCTCTGTCCGTGCATCAACTGCGCACCTAACATTAGTGGGGGTCTAAAATAGAAGTAAAAAAAAAAGCTATCCTGCTAGGGGTCATGATGGAAAATATGTGCACTTGTTAAAGGATCAGATGTCATGAACAAGTGGATAATACTCCTGGTTTGTATTCATGAATTTCCAAATACTCTGTGGCCGTCACCTTCGAAATCCTTTCCTACTACTTATCTTCTCGGTTACTTTTTCATATAACTTCTTCAGTTGAAACATTGAAGTTAAATGTACTGAGAATCAGCAAGTCAGTGATCATTTTTGACATGTGGGAGGTAAGTGATAACGAGACACTTTTTCTCCAAGAAATTCTTATCTTCTGTGACAGTTAATAATTTCAGCAGTGCTTAATATTAATTTATCATAAATGTAATTGATAAAAGACAGGTATATTAGGCCAAGTTTCAATTAGCTTGTATCATTAATATTACACGTGACACATATTTTTACAGGTTTTCCACATTTGTGCTGATGGTAGGAAGATTTCTTTCCTGTGTCCAAACGGAACAATATTCAGGCAGTCTCATTTAATTTGTGACTGGTGGTGGACCGTGGACTGCGCCAGCTCTAAAGAACACTACGAAGAAAGTGCCGAGCTTCTCGCCAATGAACGAAAAGTTTACCAAGCGAGGTCTGACGCTTTGTCCAAATCGAGGTCCAGACAACATGCAAACAGGAAACCGGGAATCATCCGAGAGTCTGAGAGTGTAAGTGCAGCACCTTACAGCACAGAGGCAGTCCCGCTGAATGCCAGAATACAGGCTCACAACATTATAAATCCAAGCAGACAGGTCCTCATCTCTACACCAAATCCCGGATCCTCACGGTCAGCGGAAGAATTTCAGACTGGAAGCAGCATGGAACTGGCAGAACAGAGGCCAGTAGTCGCCTTCAATCCACCGTATCTAGCGTCTCGTGCAAGGCGTCCTCAGAATCAGGAACATCGACAAGGCGGGCAATTTGCAGAAACCGGACAACAGAACAAAGCTGGGCATTTCTTGCAAAACATGCCTCCAGCATCTGGAGTCCCAGAACAGCAGAAGATCTCACAGTACAATCAGTTCTCAGATATTCATACTTCCCTGAAGGTTACTCCCGCTCCACAACAGGCACCCGACACAGCTCACCAACCCAAATCCGGCCTCCTCATCAGCCGCAATAGACAGTCTGGGCAGAGTCTCTCGCAGAGAAGTATGCCACAGACTGGAATCTCACGCAGTCGTCAACAACCACAGCAAGTAGTCACATCCCAAGCCCAACCACAACCACAATTTCGCCCTGAATCACAAACATTTCCACAAAATAAAGAAATGGGCAATGGTTCTAGGTCCTACAACCATATCAGATTCTTTCCAACTTCAGAAAGAGAACGCCAGCTGCCAGCAGAGACGGGGTCATTTGTTAACAACAGGGGGTATCAACTAAATGACATTAATAAAACAACAGATAGACTGAGAATTACGAAGAAGAGGGTCCAACAGGCATCTCATAAGCCGTACGTGGAGTTGGACAGGTCACGAACAACTACAGACTACCCTCTCTCAGAACAGGCAACGGACAGAGGGATCACAGGTGCATCAGACACGCAGTCGTCTCTAGTACTTACTACTGAGGGAAATTTATCTGATGATGATGATGATGATGGTGCATTTCAAGAACCACCAAGTGAGGAGCAGTTTAAAGATGAAGATTTATTTTACCTTCATGATGCTTCAAGAGAAAGTGATGTGACTGGTGATTTTACATCTACAGAATCATCAGTAAAGGATAAAAATTCAGAGAGTTCTGTTTTCAGAGATGAGTTTAATAGCGAGTCAGGCGAAATAGACTTCACTGAAGAGGTAGGATTTTCAAAATCACCAAGTTATATTCAGACCAAAGACAAGGATATATATGGAAATTCAGAAATGCAAGATTACATTGAACCTACAGAATCCATAAGCCTTCCAGACATACAAAAATCAACCACAAATATATCAAGTGCTGAATATGCTTATGATTTCTCCTCTCCTGTCGTATCGTCAAGTTTCTCCACAGAAAAGCCACATCAATTCCACACACCAGCAACATTACCTCCCATCAGTACCAAAGAACCGCTTGAACGGAATGTGTCTGTTACCAAGAGCACATCGGAACCACACGCAACAGTATCGTACATAAATGTTGAAGGTATTGCCACTCATCCTCTCAGCAAATCAATAAAAAGTGATGACATCAGTACAAGTGCACCAGTCTCGCCATCTGCGTCAGCTACAGTCTCTCCTACAACTGAGGATCCTGTAAGAATGAAACTGAAGCCTATATTTGTTGAAATTATTCACAGAGGTTCGTCAGAACCTCCGTTTTTGAAAACCTACACAGTTCAAGAACTGGAAAGGAGAAGGAGCACCACTAAGTCTCCTCTCTTTGCAGAGAAAGATAATTTTTCATCTAGAAACCCTGAAAGTACAGCCAGCACTTCTCAGATGATGGGGTCTGGTGAAATGTCAACTACTCAGACTTTATCCCCGTCACCAGTTACATTAACAAGAAGAGTAAGACCACCCAAAAAACTTGCATCTCTGACCCCTGTCCCCGACATTACACCCGCTGAATTCACCGCATCTTTTCCATCAACCGTGTCATATGTTACTTTGTCTAGGAAGGTTCAACCGCCTGTGTTAATATTAACTTCTTCAGATCAACATGACAAGGACAAAAGGAAAGGTGATGATACCCCTCCAGTGTCATCCACATCTGGTACAGGAGACATGTCATCATTTACTGACCACACGACTCCAATAAGTCCTGTAACTTTATCAAGAATAGTGCAGCCACCACTGGCAGGACTGGTTGAATTTAGTAGTGGACTCTCCACGTCAACCAGAACTGCTGTCAGACAGGAAATCATTACTAGGACAGCAAATCAGAATGCTTCTGTGAGCTTTCAGACCATAAAAAATTATAAACATCAGAATATCAGTAAACACCAACTTCCAAAAGAAGCAGAATTTGAACACAATAAATTGGTATCAACAGAATCTTCAGCTTCACATGTGAGAAGCAATTCTGAATCGACCAAGAATTTTGTCGACGAAATTCAACACCAAACAACCAGTGAACCAAGCCCTATCACAACTCCTAGGAAACGGTTTTTCTCGCTGAAGCGAAGGACAATGACAGACACTACTGAATCTACCACACCATCTTTAAACGCATCAATGCGGAAGGTGATCTTGACTAGGGTACCAACTTCTGTTTCAGACATTCCTGTATCAATTGCTTTCAAGCAAGAACAAACTTCTCCACAATATAGGAACAGAGACGGTCTCACGATACCTGCATCATCGGGACCATCAACCCTTCATTCACTTGCAGTTTATTTTGCTGCAAAAGACAGCAACCAGGAGACCACAGTCAATACGTTAACAGATTTATATTCTAGGAAACGTAAAGGAAAGGGGGAGAAGACTACGACTGAAAGTGTGCCTGCATCGTTATCCATACGTGAGTACAGTTCATCAGCAGAAGTGAATGAAACACACACTCCCATGTTAGCTCCAAATTTCTTAACAAAATCTACAAGGGATTCATATTCAATGCTTTTCCCTAATACCAGCGATGAACAAAATTCATCGACAGAAGAGCCAGCGAGATCTACGGCAAGGACGGCACTGAAATCTAGCGCCAAAATCAAGCCTAAGGATAGGAAAATAACTCACTCCTCACATGATATTCTCAGTAGTGAGCTGTTAGAAAAGTTGGCAGAAATATCTGAAATGGAAGAAAAACCACCAAGTGAGAAAAGAGTTTCTTCGTCTGAAAGAGGGATGTTGCATTCAGAAACTGAAGACTTGTTGGAAGGTACTGACTCGCGAGACCTACGAGAACTGGCACACATTTTCAGTCGTGCTCTTTCTGCCTATTTGGAAGATCCAGAGGAGTTCAAGAGAGTTCTTACAAAGGTTAGACCACAGGACCCGTCATCTGTTTATGTGAATGATGTGAAACAGGCTGAGTCCAACCACTTTCTGAGTACCACAGTATCCTCCGTGATTTCTTCCACTACTGTACCACTGACATCATCAAGCACCCAGGACTTTTCAGTCACTAAGGAGGATGAAGAAGTTCTGGATTTTTCTGATGTTTCCAAAGTTTCTAGAAAGAAATCAAAATCAACAGGTTTGACGCCTCCATATTCAAAATCTTTTGAGACACGGAAATGGAAAGATGTAGTCTCAACATCATATGAAAACTCTGCTGCAGTAGCATCCCGGAAGACTGGGATATCAGAAACTGTATCAAATCCGTCTTCCATTGAGGCAGTTGAAGAGCGTGACCTGAAGCCACCAGAGGAAGGGCTCCAGAATGCACAGTCTACATACTACATATTGTCCAATGGACGAGTTCCATTGAACACAGCCAGTGTTTCTCAAGAAGTGTTTGAACATGCTGAGACAGGTAAGGGATCTGGAACAGATTACTCTTTACCACCTGGGACCAAGCAGTATCAAGGCCCTGCATATGGTCCACAGCCAGATGAAGTAAAATTTGCTCCAACTGCTGGAGGAGTTAATGATCCAAGCCGTCCACGTTATGGAGGTTTCCAAAACAATTCAGGAATACCAGCTAAAGAGACTTCAATTAATAGTACTGACATACAAAGTATTGTCAAAGCCACAACCTTTGTCCCAGAAGTTAGGTATCAAACACGATCCACAGTGCATCCTGTTTCAACAACAGCAAATTTTCAAAAACCTTTGGGAAGGGATGTTGTTGATGAATTTGGGAATATTTTGAACACTTTTGTACCTCAAGAAGTTAACAACCTAGCTATTTTTGTTAGTACTGAAACTCCAGGTGCCTCACTGGCTGATGAAAATGTACAGAGCGACCGTGTTCAGACTTATAATTCTAGTTCACGAGAAGCTCTTCATGGCGTCAACACAACTGGTTTCACCCCTTTGCCAGTTAGCCAGTCTTCAAATACTCTCAGTGTAGAACAAAAATGGAATTCTCTGGGAAGTATAGTTGATGCATTAACAATAAATTATAAATTGAGTGAATCAGATATTGAAGAAAGAAATTTGTCAACTGTCACACAAGAATTTAGTTCACCTGTAGCGACAACACGAAAACCCACTTCCACTACAAAACCAGTGCATAAAACTCGACAAAGATTTACGACAGAATCTTTCAACCCTGAACCATCTGATCCAACAACTAGCCCGCATGATATTCCTGACACTTCATCAAAGCCTGCACAGACGCAAAGGTACGTACATTCTCGATTGGAACTGGAAGCAGACAGTGCAAATTCTGACAAGGGATCGAATTACAACTCAAATCCCCAGGAAGAGATGCAGCCACTGGACATTTCGGGCATTACATTTTATTCAGAAAAGATAAAGCCATTGCCTCCGGCTTCAGCTTCTTTAATTCAAGTATCAGTATCTAAGACGTACAAGGTCGAACCTTTGACTAATTCTTCAACTAGTAAGTACATGTCTGGAAAAATCTCAGAATTTGATAACAGTTCAGAAGAAATGTCAGTAACAACATCTGCAAATATTCCTCTCAGAAAGGAGTCAATACACAAAACACAAGCTTATCCCCGAGCCATGGAATTAGAATCATCCACTCTTTCTTTACGTGAGTCTGGCACAAAGAAACATTCTTTGCACAGTGAACAAAGTTCAAGAAGTACTGAAGAACCAGATATAACACAACAAGATTTGACAAAGAATGCAGCATTAAGAGAGGCACCAGAAATGTTACTGCCACATCGACAACCCACGCGAAAATTGTTTACGGACGCGGCATTCTCAGAAACATTACCCACTGCTGAGATTACCACAGTTTCATGGAAACAAGAAACAAAACAGTTTGATCAAGAAATTCCTAGTGTGAATTTACAACCTGTTCAGAGTTCAGTTGGTGTACCTTTTTCTGTTGCCATTCCTTCATCACAAGGGGTCACCGATTCCGGAGGAACAAAAAATTCCAAAGAGGAATTACCTTATTTTTATAAAGAAGGAGTTGAACCACTTACATCCACATCAACACTTGACTCAGCCAATAGTAGTTCTGTAATAGTTTCTTCAAACAGCAATATATCATCTAGAGGAACAAAGTTTTCTGAGAAACACAAATCATTAAATAATAAAGTTACACTGACTGAATCGAATGATGCATCAAACTCTCAACAGTCAGTCAGAATAAGTACCATGGTTTCTTCTACAGAAAGTCCATTTTCATCCAACTCTCCCACTATACCAACATCTGTTAAAATATACTTCTCTAACCGTTCTCAGATGTCTGTGCCTAGAGCAAGTGTAGAGGCGGATCTGAGGATGGATAATGTAACCACAGATCAATTACAAGCCTTGGAAGACATTCAGACAATGATTTTCCCTTGTAATTCTACCATGAGCAAAGATGGGACAATGTTCAATAACCTGAATCAATCCAGTACCCTTTCTTTGATTGATACGATGAAGCAGGCTGTGACCAATTCGACGGTTCGACGCCTCGTGCTATTATTAGTGAACAGCCTGAAAGGGAATACTCCAGAAGAAACTCAGTCACGCCTCATAGCAGCACTCTTAAGAGTGCCAGTTGATCGCAAATTGTCAGAGGCAGAGCGAGTTTCAGTATCAATGTTACTGCAAAAAAGAATGGAATCCTTGGCAGAAAAATCGAGTGGAGAACACACTTTGGTTGCTGCGTCTCAACATGAGTCATATCCAAGTGCTTTCCTCAAGAAATCATCTCAGATTCCCATGACTGAACAGCCTGACTTTGGGAAAAAGCATTTGACAACAACCCAGGCTTCTGCCACAAACTTACGTGCTCGAGGGCGGAAGGCCCCTCAGATTCTCACCCCTCAAGAACATACAGCAAAAGTGGCTGTTCAAAGTAACGGCAGAAGACCAGTGAGACTCAGAATGACAACCGAGTCCTCTTGGACCATATCGAGCGAGACATCATCACCAGAGAAAAATTCAGGGTCTGAAGATCTTGCCAAAGTTGACTCACTTCCACCATCTGATACAAGAGCCGTAGAACTTCTTCGGTCCCTATACTCCTTGGCTTCTAGATGGGGTTGAATCTAGTACATGATGAGAAATATCAAAACACTGACTTGTACAGTCCTGGTCGTAGAAACTGCACCAAGTTCAGGAGATACAAGGAAGTAAAGAGATTCGCAATAGTTTTACTGGTGGTTTAAGTTTCCCTGATCATGACTGTATACACCATATGATGTGACCAGTGACCTATGTTGGTTGTTGGCCATGGCTTTCATGTGATACAGGTTCTGCCAGCATTTGTTGCAGCTTTGATCAAATTGATGCTTGTTGTTCAACACTTTGTGCTGATCCTGGGCCTGTATATGGTGCTTCAGTAGCTTCTAAAGTCCATGAATACTTCTAAATTTTAATAAGTGTGGACAAAGTTAAAATGGAAGCAAATTGAAGATGGTATATGAAAGCAATGTTAATAAAGTTTCCTCTTGGTTACTTGGTCAGAAATAATAATAGTAGAAGGTAAAGTTTTAACTAAGGAATTTGTATCATCATAAACTCTTAAATTAGAGAGAACTAATATTATTTTGAGACTTTTGATTTGACCTGGTTCCTATAAGCACTTGAATCTTGTTAAGGATGCCCATGAAATTTGACTGTCATAAGTTTGTGCCATTTGCTAATGGGATGTTCAGTTAAACAGATGTATATTTCATTGAAACGCTTCCCCGATTTCTGCCAGTTTCCTCAGTGACCAACAGGAAAGAATAACATTGTCATCCTCGATACCACGAGAAGCTCAAATCTCACATGGTGTTGGATACTGATGCTGTTATGTTACTTATAATGAATTTTTAATTCTTGTTGGTGTGATTGAATTAGTATTAGGACGAATGTGTGTGAGAGAGACAGACTGCATTATATTTTTGTACAAGTGAATAAAATTGATGCTGGTGTTCTTAAATTCTTTCACCCTGTTAACTAATTTCATAACAAACAAATATGTTATTGCACGAATATATAAAGCTAACTTGATCTATTTGTTGCATGACAGGAAACTTAAAAAGAAATCAAAACCTTGTTGAGGTTGGATGAAGACACACAAGAAATAAAATATCTAATATTTTACATACTATGTTAACAGAAATTTCCCATTTATGTATTATAAATAACTAAAATTACATGAAGTAATGACTACAATTTTGTAAGCAGTTTATCTTGTTGCAGTGTATTTACCAACTTGAAACCAATTAATGCATTTAATGTGTCAGCTGGTTGAATGGAGAAAACACCAACGTTTCGAGAACCATATTCGTCCTTGATTGAAAATAATGTTACAACAGTGTATTTCGTAGTTCATATTTTGTTGCAATTTATAACCCATAAACATTATATTTTAGCAGCAATACGAGCCCTCTGCGTTTCGAACTGTAACCATTTTCGATATATCGTTCTTGGACCAAGGATTAAAATAAAATTTTTACGTTTATAGATATCTGTGAATATTACCATTTAATTCTCTGTGCTCGACGAGAAATTATGTTGGCCAATGACCATGACGTACTGTGAAAAGAAGCGGCAATGTTAGTTTGTAGGTGTAACTTCTTGCAAATTTTTATTAGGAGCAGATAATAAAAATCGGCAGTAGTAGCTTCAGTATTTATTTGATTGTCATTATAACTGGTTTTCCATGTTATTGTTCCGGGTTGTAATCCTGTGTGGAGTTGTGGGTAGGAAGTAACACATAGCCTCTATTCACACATCCTCCATTTTCTGGGCCTAAGAAAATTAATTTCGTTATGTCTAGGGATTTCAGATACATAAAAGGATAGGTCATGTGATATAAATACGAGAATTTCAGCCTAAAACACGCGACTGATTATATCATTATGGTAAATTGCATTTTATTATGACTGAGGTAGGCAGATTATTTTAATGTGTTATTTTACATGAAATTACCAGAGTTGGCTTACAGATACGTGAATTCCATGATAATAAGTTGAGTGTTGAAACTAGTTTGGATGGTAATAAAAACTATAACTTACTTGTTTCTTTATCATAGTTACCATAAAAAATCATTAATGCAGTGCTGGAAAGAACTGTATTTTGATATTTGCTTTGGTTAATTGGAGCATAGCCCAAAGTTCATCCAAATAGCATTATACAGATTTTCAACTGGTGTATGTGACCAGTGCTTGTGTGTTTGTTATCATTTGCATGTCCATCATTCTGGTATAGTCTAATTGTTTTTTCTTAATTATAATTTCTAGTGAAATGGGAATAATGGGTCAAGAAATGTTTCGGGTGACTACATACAAAGTAGTGCAGGCTTCATAAGGTAAGGTGTGAATATGTATACAGTCAAGTTAATACAGACTTAATACAAATTCTGAACCAGTTATCAAAATCTCCTAATTGGTGGACAATGTTAGATGTGCTTTGTGTTCGTGATGTATATATCGTAACACCATCTGACCCAAGTAATTTTGACCATGTTTAGAATCACTTAGTTCTGTATTGGCACAATTGTTGTATATTGAAATATTTTATTTCTTATTCTTTAAATTGTGTTTGGGTTTGTAAAATGCATTACATTAGGTTATTCATGTCCTATCAAGAAGTATATATATATGTCTACTACAAGACTACTGTTGTCTATGAATTATAAATTGAGTTAGTTGTGATTTATTTAATTGTGTCATTCAGCAGATATAAATATTTTGTTCACATAAATTACAGCCATAACTCTATGTTATATTTTTAATTATATTACATGGCTTAATAAGTTAACATATTATAGGAAGGTAAATTAATTCTTATTAGGCCCACATTAATGAAATGGGAGTCCCTGTAGGAGGAAGATAAGTCACGATAGTGTTGCAGGTGCGACTTGTGATACCATTTGGAATTGTGGTGGCACTGGTCTCGGTAATATGGACGGAGGCAGGCCATGATATTGCACTTTGTGTAAACATGTAAAATATGTAAAGGAGCAGGGAGAAATTAGCTTTTTCACAGTGGGAGGGGCAAACACTGTACTTCCATGAATATGATGGAAACTTTTTAAGCAAGACCAAATAATAATATTGTGGGAGAGTTACCAGGGAACAGTCTTCTTATGAATCAGAATTATCTTTTTTAAAACCTAGTGGTAACTATATATACCACATACACTAACAACCTGTAACTCTACTTTTGTATTTATGGGTTTTATATGACTCTCAGAATAAACAGCAACAAATCCCTTAAACAGCATTAATCAGTTGATCTTTATAATGGTGAAGTGTGGTGTTTTACTTGTGGTATGGACTAAAAATTTAAATATTATTCTGATGAACTTTGTCTTCAAAGGGTCGCTTAGAATTATTTAATCAACATTTTCAAGAACAGCAGGCAAGCAAATTTGGATCTTTTGGAATTCTGAGGTGTCATGACAAGTCTGAGTTGGGTCGGAGATGAAGTTCTGAACCACTTTTCTAACTCGGGTGCTGAATTAATTTTTTATGGAGATTTCAGTGTCTATTATCTCTGGTAGTAATTTATGAATTCCAAGTAGGCTATATTTAGGAAATGGGACCAGAGAATTATAAATGAGAGAAATTGAAGTAAGAAAATTTGCTTCTGGAACGTTGTAGTATGTAGTCCGGTGGAAATCATCCTGGCGATGAATCTCATCCAACACATTGATCATTCCAGAAGACATCGACATGCTTGCTGCCATGAAAACCTGAAATATAACAAAATGAGGCAAATTGCAAACATTCTTTCACAATTCGCCATGGCTTATTAAGCTCAAGGCCTTTTATGTTCATGGTAAGCAGTCGTGATGGCTGTTTATTCTTTTTTATTAAAATATTTCTAAAATTTTTATAACCTTCAGAGTATCTTTTGGTTGACCGATTAGGGAATGAATTGAAGAAAGTCAAGGTCGAATTATGCATGGCTTATTAATTCGGATTTTTAGTAGAAGTTTTCAATGGGTCCACGTGAATCGTTCTCCCAGATACATTCTTACTGTGTGCGGTATCCAACATTAGTAAGAGCCGGCGTCTGAAAAGCTGTTACTTCCAACAGCGTCACCCATATGAAATAAAATTTTCTTTTCTGTTTCGTCATGCCCGGCTTTCTGTAATTGTTTCTTCTGTAACAATATGAAGAAAAAGAATTTATAGTTACTGCTGTATTGAAAAGCTTGGAGTTACACATTACTTTAACCATAAATTTTTTGGTCATTGTTGTGTTACCTAAAAGTAAAAGCTCCCCATTGTTGTCCCTCATTGTCACATGATCAGTTTAGCAAGCTCCAAATCATTGTTAACATATTTTTTGTTTTGTGACTCTGTTAGAAAGTTTGTTTTGCTATAAATTTGCTGATCTTATTATTATGTATGTTCACGTATGCATCGAAAAAGTTTATGACAATTCATTTTTAAAGTTTTTAACTATATTGAATTTAAAGCACAGATTGGATTATGTATGAAACAGCTTACAGTAAAACAGTTCGGGAACTTCAATTTCAATTGACGTGTCTGTGCTTTGTGTTTTAACTTGTGGCATTTACTGTACATGGATGTCCTGTACAGTATAATAATTTTGTCTCGCTGTAAGTTGTAATGCTGCTGGCATGCGAGTAATAATGTATTCGTGGCCGCAGAGAATATGAGATGAACATTGTTATCGCCCTCCCACGTCTGAACAATTGAACGCGAGAAGTGACCAGAAGAATGAAAATGGCGGACGTGTAAGAGTCGTGAATGAGTGGATACGTAATTATAGAAGTTGGCAACCTTTGCCGATCTGCGTGATTGATTTCTTTTATAACCGATGGCGAAAATATAATTACAGTGGTAATAACGAGAAACAGCGACTGAGCCTGATTTGTTATTGCGTTAATGTGTGGAGGTCTTCAGAATGTTAGGTCGTGTCTCAAAAATGTCAAAACTTCGCTTTCACTGTGTCGAATTCCTAAGAATCATATTAGAGGTGCCGTAATTAGTCCATACGCACGTCTAACACGCTGTAACCGTAGCTAATGCATCTCGTCTTCATTAAATTAAGCAGTGGGGATTAATAGTGAGTGGCACGCAAATCAGTACTTCATCGTAATTTGCTCATCATAAGGGTATATGAGTCGCCATAACGTAATTAAGAACGCATCACGAGAACCGTAAATTATTACATAAACATATTTCGTAAGCAGTATTTGTAGTGACGAGCGAATTGAAGTAGTTTTTCTTTGGGGGGGGGGGACGTATTCTGTTTGAGTCTGCATTGAGACACTGGGCTTCTCGCCCGAAAGTCTCGTAGTCTTCCTCGGTCCTTACCGATGAATTCTAAGTCTGCGGCTATGAAAGGTTTGTTTTTATGTAGTGTTAAATGTTTTTTGCTCTAGAATCTCGCAAACGATTTTGCGAATAAAAAGTCGATTTCTTAAGCTTTGTTGCAGTGGCTGAATTTTATGTGGTGTGAGGAAATTAAATTATGACTTTGACGTTAAATGCGACGCTGATAATTTGAGATACTTTTCGTGTAAAGAAATTTTTATCTGCAATTAAGTTTTTTTTTGAGGGGTGGGGGGAATGCATTGCGTTTTTGTAGCGTGGTTCGTAGTAGCTACGATGTTTCGTCGAAAATATTTCCATCTGAAAAAGAATAATATTTTGATGTAACCAATGGTGGTCTCTATAAATTTGGAGATTTCGCGTTATGTAATATGAATTTACCCCTTAATTTGTCTTAGGTAGTCTAGCGGTGGTCTAGCGGTTAGAACGCTGGCCTTGTAATCCTGGTGTCTCGGGTTCGATTCCCGGCGGTGCTCGAATTTATAACTTGTGTTGGGCAAGATCGTGGTCTAGGCAACACGGGGTTTTCCTCCGGGGGCTTCCCCGGTTTCTCCGTGGCATCCCAACAATTACTCTATTCACACACAGAAGCAGGCAATGGCAAACCACTTCTGGATCATCTGCCAAGAACGTATATGAACAGGTCCCAGTCCGAGAAAAGGATGGAAGGATCCTGTTCATATGGACCTGTCAAAAAAAAATCTAAATGATTTTGTTTTGGTATTATTCAAGACAGTACGTGAATTTCGCTTGGATGGTTGAAATAGAAGACCACACAGAGGAACGAAGGAAGACAGGGAGATGAACTAGAGGGAGCGAGGAAGTTTGAGGGACTGTGAAGATAGAAAGGCGAAAAGGAAATCGCGGCTTGCGTGATATTTCATGGGTCATGCGCCGAGGGCCCCTCGTTTCACAGCTGTGCCTTATATCGCAAGGACACAGCATGTGTACACTTCATGATTCAGAAACTCTCCCACGCTTTTCGTTCTGATTCTGGCCTGAACGTGACAGATCTCTCATCCGGGTACGGCGAACATGTGACTGCTCCAGACCTGCGCAGTGAACTGACTCTTGAGCAGAGGGACTTCAATTCATCTGGTCATTACAAAATTTGGCGTAGAGCTGTATTTTAAGGAATTTGAGGTCTGTTGAAGCTCTGAGTCAGGATCGCCGGTTTCCGTACCAAGATTTGAACCCGAGACCTCCCGAATATGAAGCATCAATTCTAATCTCTCGGTTGCGTGTTAGTTTTATATATTTTATTTGAGGGCGTGATGTTAACTGGGGTGGACTGTCAGGGACGTTACCTTCAGATGAGTGGAGAGAGAATTCCCTGGGCAATGCGGCTCTGATCAAGGGTCGATTAGCGTTATTAGCCTTTGAACATTCAGTCCGTACCTCAAAGAAAACACTCCTCCTTGACAACGGCCAATTGATTAAAGCTGTTTGAGGGAGTAATCGCTGTTTGCATTGAGGATTATACGAAACAAATGAATACTAAATACAGAATTTACTGAATGTTAAAGCAGGTGGTACATATAGTTACCACTGGGTTTTAAAATGTTGAAAGGTTTCAGGGATCGTATTCCTTAATTATTGTGGACCATCGTGAAGATCGGTCGATGATGAATCAGTTAAAGGATTCGTGAATTGTGTTCATTATTCGACGTTTGTGAGATTATGTTGGTTTCGCTTACTCGCGTCGCGGACTGTAGTGATCTGCTCATTTTCCTGTCTTATTTGCGTTAGGTCATGCCCATAGCAAGATGCTGTCAGTGTTTTTCATAATGCGCTCAGGTAATTGACGTTCAGCGGTGGTTTCAATAAAACCTGACAGCATCTTGTCGTGACCACATTCCACCAAACTTGGCAATGACCACTTCTGCCCCTCATATGTGTTACAAGAGTTTAATGTCTGCTAGACACATTTTTCGTTCCAAGGATCGTCGAATACAAAGGCCCGTTTTGTACAATTCTTGTGAAGATGGATGTGGTGTTGTAGAATGCGTGTCTGTGCAACAAGACTTAGGCCCATTTCTTCTGCCCACATAATAACGCAGTATAAATAGGAATTTTACTGAAGTTAAAACAGAGTGACTGTATTTGATGGCGTTGAACCAGATACAAAGGAGGTTACTGAAACCATCTTTATTAATCTTTGTTATTCAGTTTAATAGATTGATTTGTGGATAGAAGTGTGCCTTCCATGGGTACCAAATGGAATATGGAATAAATATATACGGCCAGTTTACAGATATGTACAGAAATGCAATTTAAATACAGATTTGTGTCTCAGTACGTTAAAATTTGGACATAAGTAAATATTTATTTCGTCAACAGATGGTGTGTGTTTGTAGAAAGCCTTTCAATGCTTATAATAGAACGTGTCCTTTTGTTTCTGAACACAGTCGAAATTAAAAGTAGTTAGAAGGCGTATACGATTAGAGCAGTGGTATTCAACGTTTTTTGTTCGCTTACCCCCAGATATAATTTCTCTTCAACTTTGTACCCCCAAAGTTGTTGGTGTATAATTCAAGTTTTACATATTATATAATCTACATCTAAAATAAATTAAATAAATTACATTACTGATTATTCAGTGTTTATCATAAAATAATATATATATTTTTTAAATTTTACGTAACCCCTAAGATAGCTTCGCGTACCCTAAGTTGAATACCGCTGGATTAGAGTACTCAGCTGATATCATATATGCCTGGGCATGTTAATTCGGGAAGCCTCTTATATTAATAGCGTTACCTTCATAATACCAGGGCAAACAGTGGCCTTTTGGGTCTAAATGCTGGTTTGTCATTTGTGAAGCTGCATGCGATTTACTGCCTGGTTTATGTTGACAATAGAGGTGCCTGTTTCAAGGAGAATGTTCCAGGTATTTATGAGCAAATTCACATTCTAAAATGAATTCTAAATACACTTCATGTTGCCTTTCGAGGATTGATGGTTGTAATGTGTTGTATCTGATACCTAGTATTTTCATGTAACTGGTTTTTACTTCCTGCTTACAATTAATACGCTTATGGAAAGGATAATTAGTTAAATGAAGCAAGAATATGAAGTTGCCGGAAGTTGACCTCAACATGACCCAAAAGGTTGCTGTGTTATGTGACTTGGGAATGTGGCGCTGTCCTGAGGCGAAGAGAAACATTGTTATTGGACAGATAGGTCATTACGAGTTAAATAAGTGACGATTCGAAAGTGCGCTTACATCACGGGAAATCGATTTTAATGGGCCACGATTTATGTGTTACGTGGCAGATTATAACGTTATAGCAATGAATCAGAGGCTCTTAGAATACAGAGTCTTCAGAATTTGTGATTTTCACCAAAATTTTGATGAATTCAAGGCGGAAGTGACGTTCGTTCGGTGCCGAGACGTGGAGGGACCCCCGTTGAAGTGGGAAAGTTATGTAGTGTATCTCGCGCCTCTATATTGGAGATAAGTCATTCACCGTTTTGTGATTTGTATTAGGGAGATCGTGGGTTAAGATGTTGACCCAGATATCGATTGTCATGGTTGAGATGCCTTCTCTCAGTCCCTCCAGACATGTTTGTAAGTCCAGTTGGCCCCTCACTTCAAGGGAACATCACGGAGGGAATATCAGCGGTGGTGTATTTTTTCTGCCAAAGGGTTTGTACGAAATTAATCACGTGGGTTATGTGTTAAAGGAACATCCTTTATTTCACATAAAATACATGGCAACACAATCCTCCAGAAACTGAAGGATTTATAAGGTCTGTACAGGTTACGAAAATAAAAAAATATAATATCTCTAAAGCAAAACATTTACACTGCAGCAGGAACGAAACTAGATAGTTCTATCAGCAAGACAACAGTTACAAGATGAGACGTGGTACTATAAAAAAACAACCTCAAAATGAGACTTAGGAAAATGAGAAGCGGATTGGCAAGTGAGAAATTCAAAAAATAAGTTAATACATTTTCTAGAATCATTTTGAACTACTTTACGGTGTGTTCCAAACTCACGCGTTATTTTGATGCATCAGTTCTCAACACTGGACATATTTTCGCAGCCATTTATTTAATTCTGTGGCGCAAATGTAAAAAAAAAATTGTCGAATTTGTGTATATTTTTTCGTTTACTAAATATGATGTTTTCGTTCTTAAACTAAAAACGAAAACTTCTGTGTGTAATTTGTGATTAAACGGGAATGCCATCTGTGAGCAAGAACCGATTCTATAACCGTTTTGAAATTGTCTCGTAGGTCTTAAACGCTGACGTACGAGTTAAGCAATGCCAGATATTTTTTGGGGGCTCCAAGGCTACACAACAAAAATATGGATTTGTGAATACTGATCTCAGAAACTTATGTACATTTAGTAAGACCTGTTGGTCGTTGTTATCAAATCGTTATCCGTTGTAAGGCGGTAGGTAGTCTCTGTTCGGCTGAGATGGTCGAGCGCCTCCACCAGGTGGGAACTGTGTGTCGGATAATGGCGCACTAGGTGGCCCACTTGGTCCCCCCGAAATTGGGAATCCGGCAGTCTGACCTCCAGGACGGCTGGCTCCTGGGAACCCTCCAGCACCACTTGGGCCTCCCTGCCCAGCACCTGGATAACCTCCACCTACTCCTTCACCTGGATAACCTCCAGGCTTGCCTTCAGATCCGCTAGGACCACTGGGACCACCGTGTCCTGCACCTGGGTACCCTCCGGTAGGTGCACCGGGACCTGCAGCGCCTGGAAAACCCCCGGGTCTGCCACCTGCTCCACTAGGACCTCCGAGACCACTGGGACCTCCCTGTCCTGCACCTGGGTACCCTCCGCTAGGTCCACCTGTGCCTCCAGGGCCACTGGGCCCGCCCTGTCCTGCGCCTGGGTACCCTCCAGCAGGTGGGAAACCTCCAGGTCCACTAGGCCCTCCCGGACCACCCTGTGCTGTACCCGGGTACCCTGCAGTAGGTCCACCTGGGCCTTCAGCACCAGGGATACTTCCTGGGAAACCACCAGGACCCTGAGGTCCGCCAATTTTGGAATAATCATAGATGAACTCATTCAGCCCGTACAGACTAGGGGCACTGTTGCAGTCAAACTGATCCCACCAGACACAGACGAAGTATTGCTGGTGAAAGACTGTGCCATTGGGACACAGGAAGTCGTAGGTTTTGTTGTTGGCACAGACGTGGAAAACTTGGCACCGTGTCTCTACGTCGGCATAATAACCGGGGAAGCTCTGTTGGTCACACTTGAAGGATGTCGAAGGGATCTCAGCGTAGATAGGGTAATCATTCCCAGGCTCGCCCGGAATGGCAGAGTAATCGCCTTCATTGTATGTGTCTTCCTCTGTGCCGCCTTGGCCACCAGGAAAACCACCTGGGAAGCCGCCGGGCCCTTGAGGTCCACCAATCGGAAATTCACCTTGAGGTCTACCGCCTGATGGCCCGGTGGGGAATTGACCGGTCACTTGTGGCCCGCCGACTGAAGGTCCAGAAGGAAATTCACCTGGACGTCCGCCGGTAGGTCCAGAGGGGAATCCACCGGGTCTTCCAGTAGATGGTCCACCAGACGGGTAACCCCCTTGAGGTCCACCGGAAGGTCCAGAGGTGAATCCACCGGGTGTTCCAGCTGATGGTCCACCAGATGGATAACCGCCTTGAGGTCCACCTGATGGTCCAGAGGGGAATCCACCGGGTCTTCCAGTAGATGGTCCACCAGACGGGTAACCCCCTTGAGGTCCACCGGAAGGTCCAGAGGTGAATCCACCGGGTGTTCCAGCTGATGGTCCACCAGATGGATAACCGCCTTGAGGTCCACCTGATGGTCCAGAGGGGAATCCACCGGGTCTTCCAGTAGATGGTCCACCAGACGGGTAACCCCCTTGAGGTCCACCGGAAGGTCCAGAGGTGAATCCACCGGGTGTTCCAGCTGATGGTCCACCAGATGGATAACCGCCTTGAGGTCCACCTGATGGTCCAGAGGGGAATCCACCGGGTCCTCCAGTAGATGGTCCACCAGATGGATAACCCCCTTGAGGTCCACCGGAAGGTCCAGAGGTGAATCCACCGGGTGTTCCAGCTGATGGTCCACCAGATGGATAACCGCCTTGAGGTCCACCTGATGGTCCAGAGGGGAATCCACCGGGTCTTCCAGTAGATGGTCCACCAGACGGATAACCCCCTGGAGGTCCACCACCGGCAGGTCCAGAAGGGAAGCCACCGGGCCTTCCAGTAGAGGGTCCACCTGATGGATAACCCCCTTGAGGTCCACCGGAAGGTCCAGAAGGGAATCCACCGGGTCTTCCAGTAGATGGTCCACCAGACGGGTAACCCCCTTGAAGTCCACCGGAAGGTCCAGAGGGGAATCCACCGGGCGCTCCAGCTGATGGTCCGCCAGATGGATAACCCCCTTGAGGTCCACCTGATGGTCCAGAGGGGAATCCACCGGGTCTTCCAGTAGATGGTCCACCAGACGGATAACCCCCTGGAGGTCCACCACCGGCAGGTCCAGAAGGGAAGCCACCGGGCCTTCCAGTAGAGGGTCCACCTGATGGATAACCCCCTTGAGGTCCACCTGATGGTCCAGAGGGGAATCCACCGGGTCTTCCAGTAGATGGTCCACCGGACGGGTAACCCCCTTGAAGTCCACCGGAAGGTCCAGAGGGGAATCCACCGGGCGCTCCAGCTGATGGTCCGCCAGATGGATAACCCCCTTGAGGTCCACCTGATGGTCCAGAGGGGAATCCACCGGGTCCTCCAGTAGATGGTCCACCAGACGGGTAACCCCCTTGAGGTCCACCGGGCTGTGGCGTACTAGGCCCTCCAGGGACTAAAGGGTTCTCGGGCCGTTTGTATGTGTATCCATCTTGTGTCTGTTGGAGAGAGAGTGCGTGGTCAGTTAGCGAGAGAGGGCGTTGCAGAAGTGGGGACAATTTTTGGAGTCAGGTTGTGACCAGAACTTACCACAGCTGTCCGACCTGTCGCCAAAAGCACTGGAACAGAGAAAATGAAACATCTTGTTACTTTTTGGGCCACAAATTTTATCGTTTAAATCACTTACCTTTGGTTCACTGCACTGCAGGATTCCAAAGGATGATACAGGCTTGTTGCAGATAATAACACGGTTGTTTAACGTTTTGTGTAGAACTGATACACAATTCTAGAGCAAGTTATCGCCTGACGGGAGGTGGTATGTGGAGGAATCTGTCACGACGCGGTATTTATTGTCAGCCTTTAAATTGAGATACCAGAAACTGGTGTCTCCCTCACGCTAAGGCTTTGGGTTGATTTCAAGAGACGTTTTATTGTTCTTGATTTGGGCAACTCGTAATTAAGCATCGCCATATCGACTGCGGATGTTACTTAGCGTCTGTTAATTTTTATAAATGTTTATGAACTGTGGTGGAGCTGATATATCTTGTTTAAAGTAACACAAATTAACTCTCTTTGAGAGATTAAGTAAAACAGTCAGGCTGTATACCGGTCGCTCGGCCATGTTTCGAATTGTTATCGCCTGATTTAATGTGCGCATGCCCGAAAGGTTCCCTGTTACGTCATTGTATCTCAGAATTTGTCGTATAATTCTTGCTTTTAATTCGTACAAGTGAAGCAAGGAGAAGCATGTAAGCTGGCTGTGTGAATGTTTTGAAATGTTAATTCTATAAAATAAGTAAAGCATCTAATTAATTGTGGACTGTAAAGAGAAGAGGTGTTAGCTTTCACTCTCATGGAAAAGACGTTACGTCATATTCTGTTCTATAGCTTTGTCTTGTTTTCCTCCATTCGCACGGTCGTTTAGAAAACCTGAAAACGGTTTAGTCACCAGTGACTTATCTTTTGCCAATCTCCTTCTTTCGTCACCTATTTCTCGTCTCAGCTGGCAGTCTAGAGAATGCGATAGCACAAAGCAACGTACTTAACGTGGGAAGTAGAACATTTCTCTTGTCGTTGACATAATCATCGTTGGCTTTACGTTCCTCTTCAGAAACATACGTGTTAAATGAACTTAATGACGAATTTATATGCTTCTTATATATTAAAATGCTGAATTGGAGGAAGGTGGAGGGAACGATAAATGTATGAAGTCTGGTAAGAACTGACCGACGTTTCAGAGGATCTTACCGCGTCAGTTGAATAGAAATTAATTACATTGTTATTTTAACTGTCTAAGAATTAGGCAAGGCCGTGGTCTAGGCAACATGGAGTTTCCCCGGTTTCTCCGTGGCATCCCAACAATTACTCCATTCACACACACACAGAAGAAGGCAATGGCAAACCACTTCTGGATCATCTGTCAAGAAAGTATATGAACAGGTCCCAGTCCGAGAAAAGGATGGAAGGATCCTGTTCATATGGACCTGTCGTCAGACAGAACACTAAATAATAATAATAATAATAATAATAATAATAATAATAATAAGAATTAGTGTACGTACCTATAACCAGTGAACACGCCTTCATGCTTGGCGCAGCTTCTGTAACAGAAGAATTATCAAAAATTTGTAATTTCGTGTGTTATTTTACTGCGAGTGGTTTCGTTACCATTTTTATAGGATTTTGTGAGTATTAGGAGTCATTTCAGTAATTATTTACGCATGTTATTTTCTGCAAGGTGAGATGGCGTATGGCAGAACGGTAAAGCTATGATCAGAATCGAAAAAGACACGTAGAGCCGTACCCTAAGTAGGATTCGAACCCAGAAGTCACATATTCGTATACCCTGGAATCGTACCAGCCTTAAACTGCAATACAATTACATATTTAAGAGCTTCGTGTGGATGTTGGGTCTTCTCGGTTGTAACGCCGTGTGTACTCGTAGAGAGGCAGAAACGTTTCGGAGGAATATCTTGTCTTCATCTTCAGGGCTGGAGGTAGTATTTTCCTCCGAAACGCTCGTATCCACCGAAACGTCCACACAGCGTTACAGCCCAGAAGACCAGAGTGGACATCGTTACCGTCTTGACAACGCCAAATCAAATACCGGGGGTTTATAATTCGCACTCATCAGATTTTACAAATGTGATTAAATCGAGTGAGATTTGATGTTTAGGAGGGGGGTACAGCAGACCAACATGGTGGGAGGTGAGAAACGAGTAAGAAATTAATTTAAGGACCAGAAGAGATAAGACCTCTTGGGAGAATTATGCTTACGTAGGAGGATAATATTAAAATTGATCTTAAAGTGTGTGAGAATGGGGAGTGGATTAAACTGACTGCGGATAGGGCCTAGTAGCGACTACAAGAACAGGCCTTCGAATTCTTTAAGAGACGAATACAGAACACGAAGAAGCAGGCTTATTGATGGTTTAATAATTTTTCTCTAAGGTGTATTTATGTCTAATGGAGTAAAATGATTTTGGTTTTTTTATTGTGTACGATGTGGCATTTACGGAGTCATTAGATTGTGACAAAAATTGACATTTTGGTTTCGATCATAAGAAATTCGCATAATTTCTTGGATTTGTTGAATATTGAGTTCGCGTGTTCGAATCCAGTTCGTCTCACTGATGTGTGACTGCATCTGCTGTTTTATGTTGCATTGTTTTGTGTAGCAAGAGGCCATTCGTTTAACCAGTCTTGTCTGTAAGCTGATCATCATTTGAAGGATCTTAAGTAAGTATGAATCTAGCGACGTCTTTATCATGACGGGCGTCGAGGAAAAGCGAAGCCGACAACCCCAGTGACCAAATCAAAGTCACGACGAACGTATTTGGTGGAGAGAAAAGAAGTCTACTGTATCGGCCGCGCGTTTCATGTTTACTTCAATAAATTTTCATGTCTGTTTATAACCACCGAACTTTGTAAAAGTCCAAAACGCCAGTGTTCTTCCGGTATTGCATGGTTCGCACACATTGGTCCTTACCTCGCCTGGACGTGAAGCTCCACTTGGTGTATCTTGAAGGCAACCACAAGCCAGACTGATGCTACCTTTAGCCCTCCGCCAGTATTTATACAAAGAAGGGCTTCCTAGCAAGACACCCAGAGAATCCGAACCATACGCTTCTTCAAGAGAGGGTAAGGGGGTGTTAATAAATCGTGCGGTATAGTACGCAACCCACCTCCATAGTCAGTTTTCTGATTGGCTGTTTTATGGTGTGAGGAGAAATATCTGGGTCTGAAACTGTCTTAAACTTCGGTTACTAAGAGTGACGTCAGGTATTATGTGATTGTGGTGGGAATAATTTCACTAAATGGTTTCAACGAGGCTGGGAGAGAGAAATTGGAGGGGGGAAAGCAGGGAGTGGGATCCCAAAGTGTATTTTCACCTCTGTGTGTGTGTGAGGATGCTGAAGATTCACATCGTTCGATTTGGATACTGTATTAAACACAGCGTTGTTCCAGTCCATTCGACTTTCACTCATCGTACTGTACCATACCGCACTAGACGCAAAGAAGTTGAGGACAGAGAGATTTATAGATTTCTGATCCCAGCGAACTGGAATATGTTTGTGATCGTTGTTGACACTTGGCTTACACGCACGTCTTAACCCATAAACACCGAAACTACTTAATTTTAATGTTTGAAGTGGCATTTTTTCCCATACGGCACGTAATGAAGTTGTTATAAAATTATGGAGAATTAGCTAACGCGGGACATGTAACATTCGTTGGAGTTGTGAGAAACAGAAACAAAGTTTCAGTCGGAAAACCTGGAGGATAGATCTATGTGTAAGCGGAATGATATTATTAATACGGATCTTAAATTCCTGCTCTGAACTCGTGGATTGGATTAATCTGTTCAGGACACCGACCATAGGTAGGCTGTTGGTAACACGGTAATGAACATTCGGTGTCTATGAAAGGCAGTCGATTGCTTAACCGGATGAACAGAAATTAGGTTCTTAGACGAGTTTAATTTCTTTAGCATGTAACATGACATGATGGGCATACAAATTATGTATAATCTTTTATATTCACATGCTACGAACGTGTATGTTACAACGTTATGTATTTTAGTATCGGATTTTTACGCCGTGATTAATGCAAAAATGAAATTATCTTTGTCAGATGACGCGGCTTCGGTGCGACGTATAAATAGTATTAGAATCGCGGATTAAATTACAGGCGATTAGTTAAGATTTGGATAAATTCAAGGGTTACTGATCTTTCTGAATACTCGAATTTGCTGTTCGAACGGCGAAGTGAACGCTCGCTGACGGGTGATCGATGCCATAAATGTTCGCCCACGACCAAGTTCATTAAATTGTTCTGGGCCGGGCCGCGCGTTGAACTTCCCACTGTGAAGTGTCAGCTCGTGGGAGGAAACTGCGATATATTTTGAATACTAATGTATTCTGGGTTGTCACGCCATGTGGCTTGGTAGTAACCTGTGAAACGTCGGTTTATCTCTATCAGGCTACTCTACGCAACGTCCCTGAAGACATCCTCTTACTCGCAGCAGAAGGAATCCGAACTGTAGCCAATATTTATTTTGCTCGTAAAACAGTAGTTAAAATGTGAGTGAGTTTTGATTTAAGATCTAGGCTGATGAACAGATTATTGAAGAAATTATATAAAAAGGGAAGGAATTGTAAATTAATAATCATTTCCGTGATATTCTTCGATGGGATCACGTGTTGTAGACTTCAGTCGACTTAAAGCTTTAAAGGGTAATGGTAAGTGCGTGTACCACGTGCTTTACCGTCCATGTAATGTTTCAGTTTTATCTAGTCCTTGCTATAAACAGCGAAAAATTCCTGAATGTCATACTTCTGCGCTTTATAACTGCGTTGTGACATGTTTTTTCTCAGAGCAAGGAGCATGATTGTTAAATATTATTTAGAGTCGGACAAATTCACATACAAATTGCGAACTGTGGAGGAGTGGGCCAAGGACAAATCAAATCTGAGTTTTGTAGAATCTTAATTTCTGTTCCTGACGGTAACGTAACTGCTGAATGCGGTGATGGAGACTGATTGCTCTGCACTACAAATGCGTCCTTGTCCCAATTACGGCGAGACTGCGTCGCTGTCATATTCATGCCGGCTTCTGCAGTAGAATGGGCTGTCTGCTAACGAGGTTTTTTTTTCTAAAGAGCCCAAGACAAAGTTATAACAGGGGCGTAACATCTGTCCGTTTTCACGTTTTGTTTCGAAAACCTGTTAAGTGGCTTAAGTGAATTCGTAAGTTATACCTCAGCAGTAGTTACAAAGCTAAGTTTCATGTTTGACGTTGACGGTCTGTTATAGCTTTTTAGCATGAACCCCGTTAATCGGTCCCGTTGTTACTGCAGCATGTTTCGGCATGAGTTCCTGGTAGAAGTCTCCATTTACACGGGGTGGACGCTAATATATCGAATAGCAGCTGTTAAAACACGAACAATTCTTAATGACAGCTGGGATTTGAACCGAAAACTTTATTCAAGCATTACCGCGTGTGAGAAACCTGTTCATTATAGGTCGCTAAAAACTCATTGCCCTGATGATGGAGGCATTAAGTATCTGTGAAACATCGGTCTTTTTCTACTCGACTACACAGAGCGGCGTCTCAGAAGGCAGTCGTCTTCAGGAGCTTGTGTGACATTGGACATCGTTAAACGATGCGAAACTAAATGGCTCTGTGGTCTGTAAACGAACTTCATCAACCTGAGACCCTCGGAGCAGTGCTGTAGGATGTAATTTAGGAAAGACGCTGTGTAATTTTAGTTCAAGGTTGTTGTCACTCGTTCGTCAAACTACAATTCGCAAGATCTGTTATGTCTTACACTTTCTTTCTGTTGGGTAATCTTGAAAATGTGACCATGTATCATCTGACGAACTAAACAATTTACTCAGTAACTGAACCCGCTAACTAATAAAATATCTCGTTATTTCTCGGGCAGTTGGAGGTAACTTAGACGATTAGGAAGCCGGGACTCGTGAAAGTAGGAGGAATTTTAATTTTGTGTTTCATAATCTCTACACTGTTCAGATTTGCAAAGCCGTGTGGTGTGCAGTTAAAGACACTTCATTCCTATCATTTCTGCTTGTATTCCATGTGTTATGCGGTCTACATTTCCTGCCAATCTTAAGTCCTTTGAGGGCAATAGCTTAACTGTGCTGAATGACTCAATTCTGCATCGTTATAAGTTAATTCTTTGTATTATTATTTAGTGTTCTGTCTGACGACAGGTCCATATGAACAGGATCCTTCCATCCTTTTCTCGGACTGGGACCTGTTCATATTCGTTCTTGGCAGATGATCCAGAAGTGGTTTGCCATTGCCTTCTTCTGTGTGTGAATGGAGTAATTGTTGGGATGCCACGGAGAAACCGGGGAAGCCCCCGGAGGAAACTCCACGGCCTTGCCCAACACAAGTTAGAAATTCGGGCACCGCCGGGAATCGAACCCGAGACCCCAGGATTACAAGGCCAGCGTTCTAACCGCTAGACCACCGTGGCGGTTGAATCACGTATGATAATTTAATAAGACTGGTTCCTTATTTTGTCAAATACAGGACAGAATTTAATAAAATAAGCCTACACATAAATTTATATCCAGACAACGCTCAACGTACAAAGAAAATTCAACAGTAATCTACTAGAAGCTGTGATGTATGATGACCTCACATTTGGCTCTAAACCGACTGCTTGAAGAACGAAGGTTTCGTGTGAGTTTAAAATATATTCAGATTATCGGAGGATATCCATTTGAAGAAAAACTATCAAGTTCTAAAACATTTTTGTTCCTTAATCGACTACCACTGCGGTAAAATGTGACCGGCCTTAAGAAGAACGTCTTCACCTGATGCCTTCCTTTCCCTCGTGAGCCACTAAACAGACGCCCGTGTAATCCTG